GCTTATGCAATACGCACAGGTGTGAACCAGGCCTTAGTGTGAATGGGGCCTAAAAGGGAGGGAGAAGTGATACATGAGGAGGTAGCTGTGTGGGGATGAATTGTTTGAGAACATGAAAAGCACTTGCCTCATAATTCTCCTTTAAGTAGCAAAATACCTGATTCAGTGCAGCAGTTTTCCTGCCCATCCTACTATGCACAGCTGCTGCTTCTGCCTGCATACAGCCTTTCTGCTGGGCCTTTTGAGGCCAAATTACTTTATTGAATATAAACTCCTACACTGAACTGATTGGCTGCTATTCTAAATAAACATGAGCACCGTTGTATTACAACACTACTTGGATGTGGAAACGGCTTAGTCTAGAAAATTCTGCAATTCAGATAATACATTAGTTATCATGTTCTCCGCTTATAGGATCACAGAAATTCAACCTGTGCTAAGGAATGAGTTTAAATGGCCGTATTAAAGGTAAACTATCAGTAGATATAAAACTGCACTTACTCACTATTGTGCGGTAAGATAAATCTATAATCCACAAACAATATATATATCTATATCTATATATAGATATATATATCTATATATAGATATATATCTACATATACACACACACATATATTTTTTTTTCCAACAAAAGTATAAGAATGCCATCCTTTGCATAAGCTTGATAGGATCCTCAACAATGGCAAACAACTGCAGTAATGGTTTATTATTTGCAACTGATCACAAGTTCCAGTGACCTCTGCAGTAGGTAACATTTATTTACATTTCCTGCTACGTCTGCAATTAAAAGGCAGCAGTGGTACATGTAGAACATGATTTAGATTTTACACTGAAAGAAAACAGGGCAGTGCAGTACTAGTTTTGGGTGGGTGTAACCAAATTGGACCATACACCAACTTGCATTTCAGGGTTTTTAGTGATGTGATTTCTGCACAGGCGTTTCTGGGTATGCCTACCTACAGTGGCTTTCACTTGTTTTACAGTAAGAAGAGTGAAGGAAAATGAATCAGTCTGCATGGTCAGAGAGCAAAGGGGAAGGTCCACCTTTATTTAATAGATTAAGATTTTCTGGAATGTTTATCTTACAGCTGGTGTGGCCTCCTCAGGCAATGGCTCACATAGAGCCTACACAAGCTCAGCAGTGCAAGGAGCAATTTGGCAAGTTCATGGAGCAGATCTAAAATGTTTACCTTTATGTCAGCTTTAGGATAATATACTAACAGTCTTGAGGAGGTGTAAGACTGGAAGACAACAAGACATTTAACTAACTTTACAGATTAAAAGGACAAAAGAACACTGAGAAGTATAAGCCGGAGTAGTGTGCTTGGTCTTCTTCTGAAGGGGCTTATCTGGCTTTACACGCGGTTACACATCACATAAAAGATGTGTCTGATAATTAACACAATGCTACACAATGCAAAGAAATGCAGTACATTAGGCACGACATATGCAAAGGTGAAGATACCCATTTGATCCTATGATAAATACCAAAACACATGAATTCAGCTAATTTTTTTTGACTACCGTCATCCAGCACATCACAAAATGAGCAATTAATAAATAAATATATATGAGGTTACATTATATGAGGCTACATTCTATAAGAGCCCCTTCGCACTCCTCAAATGCATTGGTTCGAAGTGGTATAATTTCATTCTGAATGGCACTCCAACACACCTGCTGATAGATGTGTATTGCAGGGCAGCATAATTCACCAACATATGTTGCTTTGAGTTTAAAAAAAAATAGTGCGTGTACTATCAGCAGGTACGTTTGGGTGCCACCTAGAATGAATGGCACCACATTACATTAACGCACTGACCTTGCATAACCACAAATAGATGGTGTGAACGGGCCTTAGGATTTTACAAGTCATGGCTACTGTGCTGTTTGGCTGCCTGACTAAACTTGACAAGACAGTGCAATCACCTCCCTTTCTACATAAGACTGCAATGGATTTTATAAATGTGAGTGGACAGCAAAGTTTTAGCAAGGCTGCATTTTTCCTACATAATATAGGACGTAAACTGATCCAATTTCCATATTGCCTGGCATAGCATACACTCCCACATGCCTGAACATCAGTTTAGCCCGCCTGTTAAGCACACTGCGAGCACCAAAACCCAGATCACTCTAGCATGCAAATTCCAAATATTCCATAGCCAAGAAGCTGACCTTGCCCCTCCCACTTCATGTGCTTAACTACTCCCTGATGATTTTAATGGGTGCCTACAGGGTTCAGTATTGGATGGGGCTTGCTTTTAACCATGGGCGCTAGTTCATACCAGAGTAACTGATGGTTTGGGGCAGAGGTAGGCAAACTCCAGCCCTCAAGCTGTGGTGCAAATACAAATCCCATGAGGCATTGCAAAACTCTGGCAGCCACAAGCATGACTCCCAGAAACTAAGGCATCATGGGATTTGTAGTTTCACCAAATTCTGGAAGGCCAGAATTTGGTTACACCTGGTTGAGGGGGCTACCACGATCATTCGGAACAATAAATTACTGTGTAGGCAGCTGGAGATGCCTACTATGGCCATACCATTGGTTCTTTACCAATGTTTACCCAACTTCAGCATCACTTACATTCCAAAGGTGCGGGTACAATTTCCATTAAAAAACAAATTGCACTTTTTGTTTTACTCTACTGCTTTATTTTCCTATAACTATAGGGTACTGGTTCCAGAGCTGCCAGCCCTGCAATATTGACAGAAAAGGCAGCCAAGGTCAATATTAGTGCAGATTAAAAGTTAACTACCAAAATGTCACTTGTGCCAATGGTAACAGAGGGCTATTTTGCTTTTCTATTAGCATTACCACTAAAATGTGATTAATTAATGCATCATAAATGTATGAGCAGGTATGGCTACAGGATTTTTTATTTTTAATTATCTGAAATTAAAGCGTATTTCCACTTTTGCAGTCAAATTTGAGAAAACACCACTATATGTATGTTATGCGTTTCCATTCACACAGCATACCTCAAAAGAAATGTAAAAATATATTTCCTAAATTTAAGATATTTTGTTGGTGAAGTCTTCTGCACAGATTGCAGGCTAATCTGAGCAGTTTGAAAGCAGGACAAACTAAGGATTTATTGACAATCTGACAGCACATTACAGACAGGGTTAATTAATTAGAGTAAACATAACTTCCCAGAGCCCCCTCCTTAACATTACATGAAGGGGAAGGGGGGTTGGGTTGGTAGGATTTTTAAGCAGGTAAAATACACTTAAAAATGTAAGCCACAATTTATTTATTTATTTTTTAGTCGTGCAATGTGAATGGGAACAAATATAAAGTAGGTGTGATCCCAATTTGGCAGTGGAGTAATAATGCATTCAATTCTCCACCCACCCAACCAATACAAAGTAGTGCACACTCACCACTTTTCGGTGAAGTAGTAAATCTGACAGCCATTTAACATCATGTGGTTTGAACATCATGACTACCACAGTGGTGTTTGGATCATAGTGTGAGCTATCTGAGAAAATTGACTCTGGGTAGCAAAGCCGGAAAGTAGTTTTTTGCCCAACATCATCCTCATATCCTAGAACAGGACCATCATTCATCCTTGCAAAAAGAAAACAGGACTTGAATAAAAATATTCCAAATTATGCAACTATATATATTTGTATAACATTTTATAAATAACTATCTTATGTAACTGAATTTTGTCTTAGCGTCAGCACAACCTAACCTCGCACAAAATAGCAGTTAAATAGAGAGAAGTGGCAGAACTTTGGGTCGAAAGGGACGCTTACAGCTTTAACTGCAAGGCGATCAAGCATATTGCTTTACTGTCAGATTAGGTGCCAGGATCACAAGCATAATAGAATAATAAATTCACTGACAGGTGAAAATGTTTACAGATAGTAAAGGGTTTTCCACTGACAATGTAACTGTTTGAATTTGAGGTGTTAGTTAAATAAGCTGCAATTGAATCAGAATAAAGGGGTGGCAAACAAAAAAAATAAAGAGCAGTAGTAAGTTGACCTCCTTTCATATTTTTAGATTGTGGAAACCCATACAAACATACAGCATAATGAAGTAGTGTCAGCAACTGACCCCAGCAAACCTATATGTCTAATTCTTTAAAAAATACATTTAAAAACTTAAAACTTGAACCATTTGAGTCCCAAGTGCCGTTTTAAAATGGCACAGGGACATCGGCTACATGTCTCAGCGTACTTTTAAAACTTCACCAAGACCCAGCAGCTCCTGCTAGTGCAGGCTGGCATGTAGGCTGGAACTGCTGGCTATCAGTGACAGCTGGCATCCGTTGCTAAGCCCATTGCGAAGCATAAGAAGGATGAGGCAATGCAAATTCACTCAAGAGAAAAACAAAAAGCGTTCTCAAGTGTCACACTGACCCGAGGTGACTCCTACAACGTGTTCAGACTTCCCCAAATGCAGAAATAGAATGAGAAAAGGCACAAGATGTCACTGTACCTTATTATTACATCATAGCTATCAATTTTCTTGCCTAATGTGCTGTTTCGAAGCACACCACCATTTCCAACCACAACACATTTCTTGCAGGAAATACTAGGAAGGAAAAAAAAAAAGACAAAAATGGTGATTCGTCTTGTTTGTTTTGTGCTAAATAAGCCAATAGTAAGTGTTTAAACCCATTTATGTCTAGGATGCAGGACAAACTATCAACACAAATGAGATACAAGCTCATCTATATACAAAATAAAAAAAAAAAGATTTTTATGACCCCCTTTTGGACAGCCTTCTCCCATTGACACCAATTCCCGAAGTGGAGGAGGGGTTGGGGCTTTTATTATCTTCACTGACACCCATACCTGAGCAAGTCCTTTTTTTATTCTCACTGACACCAGTGCAGGCGGTGTGTTTTATTACTTTCATGGACCACGGACTCAGGGACACTTTGTACTCCAACTGACCACTGATGCAGGCGCATTTATTACTCATAGGGGAATTTATTTACTCCCATTGACTACCAACATAAGAGCATTTTTGCGCCTCTTTTTTT